CCATGGAATTGTTTTTCTTCTTCTTCTTCTTTCTTAAAAGTATTTTTCATTCAGAATTTGATTTTATGATATAAATTAAGGATTGCCCCACTTTGAAAAAAGGTGATGATAAATAAATGAGAAATATGTAATAAAATGTTTTGAGAGGAATGACTAATTGGCTATTCTATTTCTTTTAAAGACGATTGTGAATAGAAGTACAAAAACTAAAAAGTAAAATCAAGTCTAATGTTAATTATTAGACGAGAAACAGTTATCTTAAAAAGTATCTGAATCTGAAGGTGAGGAATATAATTGTCTAGCACAGAGCTACTCAAAGTGGGGTCCCTGGACCAGTGGCTGTAAAATACAACTACAGAAAGTGTGCATGAACACTTAGAAACTCTTAGAGCAATTTTACACTACCACTTCATCCAACCCGTGATTTAGTATTTTACAAAAATCAGCTTATGGCATTTTTGAATTTTAAGAATTTGCTCTTTACTACAAATGGAGATGGATTGATTTAGCATAAATTACTGTAAGCAGAAAAGAGTATCATTGGAACTTCATATATTGAGAATAATTTATCCTGTGTGATTCTGTCTGAAAGCTGGGAAGTGAGGTGTTTTTCTCTCTGAAAGATCTCTTTTAGCCCTAGAATAACATATTTATTTTCATAAGATTACAGCAAAGGAGGCTGAAGCTGATATTGTTCTCTCCTTTTGCAGATACGAAAACAAAAGTGCAAAGGGCTTAAGTGAGATGTCTGAGATTACACAATTAACATCAGAATTTAAAATCAAGTTAACTAAACAGCATTGCACTGAACTTACTTCATTTTATGATGAATAAAATAAAAAATACCCTAGGTTGATTATGGCATCAAATTCAACATATTTACAATTATATATTGCAGATGGCAGTGCTTTGTCTTAAGGTTTCTGAAGGAAAAGCATTGTGATAGTTGTTCAGTGAGTGTACAGTGAAACTATACATACTGCAAACCAAGGTGACGAGTTGGAAGGAATTCAATAACCAAAACCAAAATTAAACAAAGAGAATGAAAAAAGATTAAGGTAGGAACACATAATTTGGTTAAAGAACTAATAGAGCAGAAATGTAAGCCCACACCTCTCTGAAAGGTAAAAAATTCCAGAAAAAAAAAGGGTTGACCTTGGACTGTAAATAGGAGAAATAAAACGAAAATAAGAAAGGGAAAGTTTAGACAAAACACTGGGAATTCTTAATTGTCAGGAGTATTAGGTTAGTTGAGTGAGGGCCCAAAAGAATCTCTAAGGACATTTAAAACTGAACAAAGCCATGGACAATGTATTGTAGTGAGCAAGAAGACTTAATGGCAGGGGGATGGTTTGGATCAACCATGAGGTGTTTTTCAGCTCTAATTTCTAGTATTCCATAGCTCTGTGAAGAATAGTTGCTAAATTGCTTGATCAACTCAGACAAATGAAACTCAACACAAGAATAAAGTCCCAGACAAAACAGTAAAGTCAGCCAAAATTGAAACACACCCTCAGAATGACAAAAAACCATAAATCTTGCATCATATCCCAAAGATGACAAATTCAGTTACTGGCAGCCTGCCCAGACGGATAAATTCCAGAGACGAGATCCTTCACTGAGTAAGCCCAACCAACAGGTTGGGAGAGTTCAACTTCTCAGACTGCAAAACCTCTCAGCTAATATTAATATTAGAGCAGACTAAAATTGAAAAGGAAAAGTGATGTATTAAAGAACCTGGTCTATGAGTGAACTAATTCCTCTATTCATTCTTCAAGGAGTTATTATGGAGTGCCTACTGTCTGCCAGCTACTATTATAGGGTAAAGTACCTCAGTGAACCAAATAGTGAAGAGATCTGCCCTTATGGAGTTTATGTTGTAGTGTGAGGAAGAGTAAAGAACACAGTATGCCATATCTTCAATATGGGAAGTGCTAAGGGGAGTAGAAAGCAGGCTGAGGAATATGGCAGGCATGATTTGGGGTGTGGCAAAATAGGGGCAGATGGCTGTGTTTAATAATGCAATCAGGGTAGAACTCCTGGAGAAGGAGAGACATTTGAGCAAGACAAGGGCAGTGAGAGTAGTTAGCCAAGTTGGTACTGGGGAAGGAACATCCCAGGCAGAAAGAACTTACAGAGAATGGCAGGAATGATGGAGCAAACCTGGTGTGTTTGAGGAATAGAAAGGAGTATTCTTCCCCACACTCACTTCCCTCCAGTGGGATGAAGTCAGAGAGGCCTGTAGGCCTTTACTAAAACCTTGTCTTTTACTCTGAGTAAATTGCTCTCATCTTGCTGTGAGAATCTTAGGATCTCAGTGAAGAAACTAATGCACTTGAGGTGCCAGCCTCTTTGAGAAACTATTCACCCATACATCAATGGTGTTTCATTGTGCTCTTTTGGATTGTTCAGGTGATAAGTTTTAAGAATGTCAGCATCTTCCAGCAGCATGGGCCTTTAACATAAAAATATGTCCTGTAACTACTGCTACTGAGAATGCAGGGAAAATAATAAATCGTATAACTCTGGATTATAGAGTTACTGCTTTCATTTTTCTCTTAGACCAGCAATAACCATTTTTTAAAAATTATACTCATGATCTTTGATGTTTGTACATGTATGAAATATATGCTCTGTCACAGAAAATAAACCCCTAAATATCAGCAATTGTATTGTGGGTTTATATTCTATGAAACCTGATCATTACTAAGGGCTTGATAAATATTTAAAGGTAACTAGGTGCTTAATGTTAGAAGACAAAGATGGATCTGCTTATGAGAAGGAACGACAGTTTTTTTTTTTGAGATGGAGTCTCCCTCTGTCACCCGCTGCATGCAGTGCAGTGGTGCTGTCTTGGCTCACTGCAACCTCTGTCTCCTGGGTTCAAGTGATTCTCCTGCCTCAGCCTCCCCGAGTAGCTGGTACTACAGGCATGCACCACCACACCCAGCTATTTTTTTTTTTTTTTTGTATTTTTAGTAGAGACGAGGTTTCACCATGTTGGCCAGGCTGGTATCGAACACTTGACCTCAGGTGATCCACCTGCATCAGCCTCTCAAAGTGCTGGAATTACAGGCATGAGCCACTGTGCCTGGCCAGGAATGACAATATTAAAGAAATTTTTTTTTATGTTTTTGGATATTTGAAAATATTAGAAAATGAAAGGCTAAGTTAGAAAAACACTGTTAATGTTTCTTTATGATTTGAAAAAAGTGTGTTCAGTACCTGCTATATGCCAGGCACATTTTCTAGACCCTATGGATACAACAGCGAAGAACACATAAGAGCCTGAGATCTAATACATTCCTCTATTAAGATTCTCTTCAGGCAGCTTACCAGTTCTATTATAACAATATGTAGCTGAAGAGGTGAGTCAATGGGAGACTCATCTGGAACCCAGCATCACCTGTTAGGATGGGACGTGGCTAGGAAATTATGCTTCATGACCTGGCCCATCTGGTCATCTACTCTTTGGAAATCCTCAGGCAGAGACTACATCTCTGAATGTTTAGGAACTTTAGAAAGAGAAGAGAGGATTTGGGTTGGTTCCAAGACTTTGCTATCGTGAATAGTGCTGCAATAAACATACATGTACATGGGTTAGTTCCAAGTCTTTGCTATTGAGAATAGTGCCACAATAAACATACGTGTACATGTGTCTTTATATTAGAATGATGTATAATCCTTTGGGTATATACCCAGTAATGGGATTGGTGGGTCAAAATCCTCTGTGTATATACGCAGTAATGGGATTGCTGGATCAAACAGCATTTCTAGTTCTAGATCCTTGAGGAATCACCACAGTGTCTTCCACAATGGTTGAACTAATTTACACTCCACCAACAGTATAAAAGTGTTCCTATTTCTCCACTTCCTAGCCATCATCTGTTGTTTCCTGACTTTTTAATAACTGGTATTCTAACTGGCGTGAGAAGGTATCTCAATATGGTTTTGGTTTGTATTTCTCTAATGACCAGTGATGATGTGCTGGATAAAGAAAACGTGGCACATATACACCGTGAAATACTATGCAGCCATAAAAATGAATGAGTTCATGTCCTTTGCAGGGACATGGATGAAGCTGGAAACCATCATTCTCAGCAAACTAACACAGGAACAGAAAACCAAACACTGCATGTTCTCACTCATAATTGGGAGTTGAACAATGAGAATATTTGGGCACAGGGAAGGGAACATCACACACCAGAGTCTGTAGGAAGGTGGGGGGGGGGGGGTTAGGGGGGGAATTGCATTAGGACAAGTACCAAATGTAGATGACGGGTTTATGGGTGCAGTAAACCACCATGGCACATGTATACCTATGTAACAAACCTGCATGTTCTGCACATGTCCCAGAACTTAAAGTATAATAAAAAAGGAAGGAAGGAGGGAAGGAAAGAAAGAAGGAGGGAAGGAAGGAAGGAAGGGAGGAAGGAAGGAAGGGAGGGAGGGAGGGAGGGAAAGAAGGAAAGAAGGAAGGAAAGAAGGAAGGAAGGAAGGAAGGAAGGAAGGAAGGAAGGAAGGAAGGAAGGAAGGCAGGCAGGCAGGCAGGCAGGCCATATTTGAATTAGAACTGTGTTGTCTGATATAATAGCCACGTATGGCTATTAAGCTAGTAAAATGTGGCCATTCCAAATAGAGAAGTATTCTAAGTATAAAATACACTTCATTTGGATGACTTGGTGTAAAAAAGAGAATATATATATTTTTAGATGTTTTACATTTATTGCATTTGAAATTATACTTTTGATGCACTGAATAAATCAAGTGTACTATTAAAATGAATTTCTCTTTGTTAAACTTTTTTTAAAAAATGTGTATTCTAGAAAAAATATACTTACATTTATGTGGTTGACATTCTATTGAGCCTGAAGGTCTGCCTTTGATTCTCATATTTGCTCAGTACTGTTGCATAATAATGGCTAACACTTGGAGTACGCATTAAGTGGCAAGCCGTCTCCTAAGCACGTTACCTACGCTAAAACATTTAATCCTTACAGAAAACCCTGTGAGGAATCATTTTTCCAGATGAATAATTTGAGACACAGAACTATCAAGAAACTTGCTAAAGGCCACAGATCTGGTGAGTAGAAAAGCAATTAGGCTTTTAAAGCTGTAACTAACCCAGTAGCTCTTAAACCTACATGTTCATCAGTCACCTGCAGGGCTTGTTAAAACACAAATCCCTGAACCCCAACCCCAGGGGTTTTGACTCAGTAGATGGGGCATAAGCTGAGACTGTGCATCTCTACCAAATTTTCAGGTGATTTTGATGCTGCTGACTTACGGACCACATTTTGAGAACTGTTGGCCTAATCAATGCACTACACCACCTCTCCCCAATCTTAATAAAGTCCTCAGCCTTTCTGAATCATAACTGTAGTTCTTATATTTACCTCATATGCTATAAAATTCACCATTTTAAAGAGTACAACTCAGTATTTTTTGCTATCTTCAAAGCTCTGCAACTATCATCATTAATCCCAGAACATTTCCATCACCCCTAAAAGACATTCGATACCTATTAGGAGTCACTCCAGACTCTTGTCTCCCCCAACCCAGGAAACAGCTAATCTATTTTCTATCTCTATGGGTTTGCCTATTTTGGACATTTCATATAGAGGGAGTCATATAACGTGGCTTTTTGTGTCTGACTTATTTTCGTAGCATCATGTGTTAAAGGTTCATACTGTAGTATGTATCAATACTTCATTTTTTTGAATGAATAATATACACTTGCATGGTCATACCTTAACAGTTGATGCACATTTTGGATAGTGTATATTTTTGAGCTATTATGAATTTGTATGAACATATATTTTTATTTCTCCTAAGTTGTAAGTATGATAGGGTCTAGTAGGAGTGGAAGTGCTGGCTTTTATGGTAATTCTGTTTAACTTTTTGAGGAACTGCCAAACTGTTATCAAAATGCTGCTCCATTGTACATCCCCATCAGAAATATATGAGAGTTCCAGTTTTTCCACAAGCTTAGCAGTACTTGCCATTGCTCATCTTTTTACCATAGCTATCCTAGTGGGTGTGAAGTGTTATTTTATTGTGGTTTTGATTTGCATTTTCCTAATATCTAATGATATTGCACATTGTTTTATGTGCTTATTGGACATTTGTGTATCTTGTTTGTTTGAAAAGATGTCTATTGAAAGCCTTTGCTCTTTCAAGAGACAGAGCTCACTCAGTCACCCAGGCTGGAGTGCAGTGGCACGATCACAGTTCCCTGCAGCCTTGATCTGGGCGCAAGGCATCCTCCTGCCTCAACTGAATAGCTGGGTCTACAAGGATATGCCATCATATGCTGATTTTTAAATTTTTTTATAGAGACTAGGTCTTGCTATATTGCCCAGAATGGTCTTAAGCTTGTGGCCTCAAGTGATCCTCCCATGTTGGCCTCCCAAAGTGCTGGGATTACAGGTATGAATGACCACCCCTAGCTTCATTTTTAAATTGGGTTATTTATCTTTTTATTGTTGAGTTATAAGAGTTCTTTAATATTCTGCATAGAAGTCCTTTACCAGATGTATGATTTGCAAATAATTTCTCCTATTCTGTAGGTTGCCTTTTTGCTGTCTTGATGGTCCACTGAAGCACAATGTTTTTAATATTTATGAAGTTCAATTTGTCTAAATTTTTTTTTTAGCACTTGTACTCTTGGGTCACATCTAGAAACCACTGGCTAATCCAAGGTCATGAAGATTTACTCCTTGGCTTTCTTCTAAGAAAACATAATTCTTACATCTAAGGCTGTGATCCATTCTGCATTAATTTTTGTCTATGGTGTGAGATATGAATGAAACTCCATTCTTTTTCATGTGGATATTCACTTAGCACTACTTGTTGATCACAGGGTCCTTTTAAAATTTAAGAATATTTTATAGTCTGCATTAATTATAATATTTTTATTAATATTAATTACAATATGGTTTTTTTCCTTTCTGGGTGCTTGCCTGCTATGCTGTCAAAGCTTTGTGAGTGCTGTAATTAGAACAAAATGAATGTCCTCGGAATTAAAACCCCACGTCAGTAATGATTGACCACAAGGCAGGCTTGTTCAATTGCACTTCATCATTTACTGTTGTACCAAGACCCTTACCATTATTATATTGTCCTATGTTAATTCTTTCATTCACATATATAGGATGAGAAACAAAGGAATATTTATCCTATATAATGTTCCTTTATGATTTTTAATACCATTTTACTGTTGTTTATGCCTAAAGCACCCATTCAACTGATGTTATAAATACAAATTTGAAATGTGGTATGTTATTTCCATATACTGTTATAATAATTGAATATAGAGAGCAGACCAAAATAAGATGAATGCTAGAAAATAAACAAAAATGTGGGAAAAGAGGCAAACTTTACCTAATTGGGACTGATAGCAATTAGTACATTACATACATGGATGCTTCCTTTTCATAGGAAGTAAGATAAATGGAATGTGAAACACAATGCAGATGCTGTCCAAATATTGTGAGAGGGTTGCAATGGGAGGTGAAAATGTAGAATCTGAAAGGCATCAGTGCATATGGCATCCAGAAAAATGAGAATGATAAAGTAAGAACTTTTTGGTATTTCCCGAAATAGTGCCCAGACTTGTGACAGGAATATTTAGGTTACTGGTTAGGTATCACTCTGCAGTGCCATAATTACAGGAGGAAATTTTAGCAAGCTGTTTCAACCTAAAAGTATTATTTCTCCTTTATTTCCTGGCTCCATTGTCATTTAACCCACTGCTGTCCTTAGCTCATTTCTGAAGTAGATATCTAGAGAAAAAATAATTAACTCTCTCTGTGTAAATACTTTTCATTGTAAATTAATAAACTTTTCTGGTGACTTTATGGAACATAGGCATAAATTCAGTTAGATGAGCTTCTGGATCTGAGGACTGAGTGAGGAAAGAAATTTTGGACTAGTGTTCAGCCTAAGCAACATTGCTAAGTAAAGTGATAATGAAATTAGAAACCAAGCCACAGGGTCTTGTAAATGTGCTTCAGACTCTCATTTATATTCAGTGAAATTCTGGTTATTCTCATGAGTCAAATATTAGAAATAAAATGTTAAGTCAAATTCTCCTTTTTCAGTATATTGGTACTGAAGAACTCCTTAGTACTCAGATAATTCTGAATAGGGATATAATTATCCCAAAAATATATTTGTGGGAGCTGACTTCTGTATTGTGAAAATGTCAACTGAATTTGGTAACACGTACCTGAAAGTTCCGGAAACATAAATATTACCCACAAATAGGGCGTTGATATTTCATCTTATTGTTTATTCTGAACTTCACTCTTATGAAAAAGCCAAAGGGTGTCATCCCTTTTCAGGCTAGGGACTATGACTAAAGAGTTTTATTTTATATAATTTATTAGGCTTTTACAATTCCCCTCATGCTTCTTATGTCCTTTTCTGGTGTCAGCATTCTTATAGGCTAAATTTCTAAAGCAGAAATGGTGTGCATGTCAATATAGTTAGCAAGAAATTAGGGAGTATATTATCCACTCAAAGCAAGTCTTGGAGATGAGGAGAGAAAGAAATCTCTAGAGATAGATGCAGTAGGGGCAGTCTTGAAGAGAAAAGGAATGCAGCCTATGGAATTTGTCTTACAACTTGCAAGTCACATAGTATTAGAAATTAAGCCACAGAGCCTGGTGATATTATGTTTCATAAAATTCCTATCAGTAGTTACTGCGAGTCATAAATCTTCATCACGATGAGTTCCTGGGGCCTACATGAAAGAAGAACAAAAGCTGTTATAAATTACCTTGAGCCAGAGACTGGACCCAGCAGATTCCATAGAATAGACTGCCTGTCTCCTGTTGCTCTCATTGGATGAGGGTCTCTTGAATTAAGCACCAAAAGCAGAAAGCAAAAGGAAAATAACATCACAGATGTGCTGACCATACTGCACCCTGCCTGCCTAGTTTCTGCCACAGACTCCATCAGCTCTCCTTTCAGAACCTGCAGTTACCCTCACGGTCTTGTGCCTCCTTCTGATTATATGTTGGGTAGTTTCTACACATACACCTCTGACTAATTAATCTCTACCTCACATCACCTGAAGAGATCAAGCAATGCTGGGTTAATGCCAAGGGCTCAGGGATGGTAAGCAGAGGCAAAGCATGCACAAATAGGAAAGCCACCACCTAGGTTCTTATGAAAAGCATGCATTTTTAGAATATTAGAAAAATACGCTATGGTTAGCTTAATTCTGAATTCTGGGGTGAATTCCAAGCAAACTGAAATTCCCCATGTCCTGAGCAAAGCAAGTCTGTACATGTGGTGGCCTTTATGTCATCTTCCCAGGTAATCACTTTTCTCACCTTAGAATGGTATGACCAGGTTACCAAGAATATTTCCCCTTGCATGGAGGGGGCTGATTCATGAAACAGTGACTTGCACAGTTGGGCCACAGTGTGTCCTGGATTTTATGAACTAGCCAAGAGCCAGGGTGTGGGCTGTCTATGCAATTCTGCCCCCAACTTGTGTCAGCATGTCCAGATATTTAAGCAAAGTTTAAGTACGTGCTCATTTGTGTGAAGAAAAATCCAACAAAGGAATGCAATCATTATCGGCCTCTGTATCAATAGGAAAGTCAAATCTGGTCAGCATTTCAAATGAATTCAAATTTATTATTTTAAAAAGCTCTGTTATTAGAATGTTAGTCCTAATGCAATTCTTTTTATATATTATTTATCTGATTCATTTCATTAAACTTTATAAGCCTCCCACAAGGTAGAGTTTTATCTATTTTAGAAATGTAATACGACTTTTAAAATACCATAATTAATCAATAACAAAGTTAAAGAAAAACAGCCCTGAGTTTCTTAATCTTTATTTATTTGGGCAAGATGGGACAAGGCTAACTTCTGACACTTTTCCCTGATAAACACATTTCATGTGAATTTTTTTTTTTTTTTTTTTTTTTTTTTGAGACGGAGTTTCGCTCTTGTTACCCAGGCTGGAGTGCAATGGCGCGATCTCGGCTCACCGCATTTAAAAATGCTGTCTTGGTCTCTCCTTCAGATCTTTGGAGAAACATGAGAACACAGAAAGGAGAATACATATTTTAGAAATTTTTTGAAGCAAAATCCTATCTACGTGCTCTTTTGTTTTATTCTTAAACTTTCTTACTTAGAGCAGTTTTGGATTTTTAAGGAAATTATGAAAATATTACAGAGACTCCCATATACTACATAACTAGTCTTCCACAATTAAGGAACCAGTATTATGATATACATTATTATTAAAGTTAATATTTTATTCAAATTTTCTTAATTTTTACCTAACATTTTTATCTTTTTCTGTTCCAGCTTCCCGTCTAGGATACATCACATTTAGTCATCACGTCCCTGTAGGCTTCCCTTGACTATAGCAGTTCTCAGACTTTCTTGGTTTTGATTACTTTGATGGTTTTGAGGAATACTTGGATTTTGCAGAATGTCCCTCTCTTGATACTCTTCTGTTTTTCTCATAATTATACTGGGTTTATGTGTTTGGGGAGTAGGACCACTGAGGCAAAGTGCCATTTTCATCACATTATATCAAGGGTACTGTCAACATGACTTACTAATTTGATGTTGACCTTGATCATCTGGCTGAGGTAGTTTATTTGTCAGTTACATGCTCTTTTGAAATTTTGTTTAGTTATATAGAATGATCTCTTCATTAAAAGATTTATTAAGTTTAATTTTAAACATCATTTAGCCAAGCAGTAGTAGCACTAGAACTAACTATCAATTGTACAGGTTACAATACATAGGAGATGACATTGCACATTTAGAGAGTGAAAGGAGAATGAATTACACAACAGGAAAACTGGTTTAGTAAGTCTTAAAGTTCATCATCTGTACAACTCCTGTGGAGAAGGTTAATACTATAAGCTCTTCCTTAGCATATTTGGCTTTGCAAAACATGTTGCAATATCACTCTAGTTATTTTTTTTCAACATTCCTATGCAGAAGCAAAGTAGAGCTGCCCTCCTTTACTTTCAGTGGCAGGCTTGTAGTCAGAGATACTTGTGTTTGGTTTTGAGCTTAGCCCCACTTTCTATCTAAATCATCCTTGGAGAAAATTTCTGGGAGCACCTAGTCTATAAAACAGGTTAATACAAACTTTATAGGGCAGGAATACATAGAATATTTTCAATCAAGCATCTCAGATACATACATCAATTTTCTTCCCAGAAAGAGGATGAGAAAGAAGGGAGGTTCTTTCTCATCCTCACTTTCCCTTTTCCAAATCTCCAAACTTATAAATAAAGACTTCAGGATCTGGGTGTTATAAGGATGCACATTAGTATTAAAACCGACCAACAATTTTAATTAATCATGTAAATTTCAGCAAATGTAAAACAGCTTTAGACTAATGCTATGGAAATCTTATGAGACTGGACTAACACAATTCCTACCCAGATGTCAATAGAATCCCAGCACCATAGTCCTGAGAACCATGATTTCCAGTAGTACTTTTCATCATAATTGTACATCTCCCATGTTCTATGTTCTACTTACAGTTCCTCGCTTCCTTAAGAATAGTAAAAGAGGCCGGGCACGGTGGCTCACGCCTGTAATCCCAGCACTTTGGGAGGCTGAGGTGGGCAGATCATGAGGTCAAGAGATTGAGACCATCCTGGCCAACATGGTGAAACCCCGTCTCTACTAAAAATACAAAAATTAGCTGGGCATGGTGGCATGTGCCTGTGGTCCCAGCTACTTGGGAGGCTGAGGCGGAAGAATTGCTTGGACCCGGGAAGCGGAGGTTGCAGTGAGCCGAGATTGTGCCATTGCACTCCAGCCTGGCAACAGAGCAAGACTCCATCTGAAAAAAAAAAGAATAGTAAAAAAAAATGAAATGATAGGGCTTCAATGACCACAGTGTTTGAATATTGATTGTTAATATTGTTCCATTGTTGGGGTTACCATAATGTGGTAGATTGGTGATCAACAATAATGTGAACTTATATGTAGGGAGGTTGCATCATGTGTGCATATAACTGATAAAAAGGCAACTGAAAATAAGGCAACTCTACATACTCAGGACAAAAGTAAATATACCGAGAGAAAGGGATGGAGAAACAGCTGTTGTAGCTGTCATTCTCTTCACTGAGTGTAAGCCTTAGAGTAAGCATGAAATGGAACCATGATCCCATTCTTCCCTCAGGCTGCCTCATTTCTTTTATACTCCTCATAATTCTGAAGTGTTGGCACACCAAGTGTGATTCTAGTTTTTAAAGGTGTGTATTTTTCACATAACAAGGTCTCTAGATGTAACCCAATTTCTTCTGGCTATTATATTAAAGAAATTGAAATAGAATCCAAAGATGAAGGGAAGCTCTACACTGGAACTCTTGATCTCCAGTGTGGACCCTCTGAAGGTGTTAATATTTTAATGGCCAATTTTGACTACAGTAGTCCCCTTTTATCCATGGGAATATGTTCCAAGACCCCCAGTGTATGTATGAAACCACCGATAGTACTGAACCTAGATTGCTATGACTTCTGTGTATACATGCCTATGATAAAGTTTAATTTATAAATTAGTCAGAGTAAGAGATTAACAACAATAACTAATAATAAGATAGAACCATTTTACTATTTTAACAACAGACTGTAACAAAAGTAAAATAAGCACAAACACTGTGATACCAGCACAGTCAATCTTATTACCAAGATTGTTACCAGGTGACTGATGTGCATGTAATGTAGACAGCAGGGATAAATCCAGGTGGGACGGAGCAGGACAGAAAGAGATTTCATCAAACTACTCAGAACAATGTACAATTTAAAGCATAAGAATTATTTATTTCTGAGCTATTCCGTTTCATGTATTTGGACTGAGATTGACTGCAGGTAATTGAAACCATGAAAAGCAAAAACTGTGAATAAGAAGTGACTATTGTAATTGTGCTTTTCGCCTTAGGAGCTAGTCCCTGTATAACTCCATTATTTCTTAATTAATGTATATTTGAATACCTAATGATTCATAATATGATTTTGGGGGGGAGATGTTGTTCGATAAGAAAATATCTAGCTGACTTGAGGCAGACCCTGTAGCCCATTTGGTTACAGGTATTCAGGCAGCAATGACTGATTTTCCCTGGCTGGGCTTGCTCCATTCCCTCCTCATTTGTCATGGGGCACACAGTTTAGTGCGTTAGACTTGTGCACCCCTAGATCTGGTTCTAAGCACTTTACTGACAAGGCTAAGGGGGACGTAGCAGCACCATCCTGATTCTGAGCCTCTACCCCAGATCCAGACCCTACTTTTTTTTTTGAGACAGAGTCTCTGTCGCCCAGGCTGGAGTGCAGTGGTGTAGTCTCGGCTCACTGCAACCTCCTCAGCTGGGACTACAGGTGCAGGCCATCATGCCCAGCTAATTTTTGTATTTTTAGTAGAGACAGGGTTTTACCATGTTGGTCAGGCTGGTCTTGAACTACTGACCTCAGGTGATCCACCCACCTTGGCCTCCTAGTGTGCTGGGATTACAGGCGTGAGCTACTGTGCCCGCCTCCCTACCTTTCTTTTCCTCCTGCATTAATGTAAGGAAGGTTGATATGAACAGATCTTTGCTCTTTTGGGAGTCTGAGAATGATAGATAGTTTTGTGGAAGTTATGTGGGATGGGTAGAGAAGAACCATTCTGTTTTGCCCTGCATGAATAAGTAGTTGTGTTCACCTTCTTCTTGACCCCAGAAAAGGCTGAAACCAGAAATGGTGATGAAGAAAGAGCTAAGAGCTCATTCCTATCTTGTCTTAATTCATATCTTCTTGTCCCAGGGTAGTACATAAATGGGATACCCAGTTAGGTGTTTGTGATAGGACCAGGGGAGGAAATGGCCACAAATACAGCAACATACAAAGGAGTAATATGAAATAAATTGAGTGGGGAGGCATGGACTACTTCTTATTCATAAGAGCCAAGAATTCCATGGCTTTTTTACGTCCGTGAGCATGCTTGTTCTCATGCCATGTTCTTTTTTTTTTTTTTTTTTAAATGAAAAATTTATTTCTCAATTTAAGCTCTATTTGAGAAGGACTTGTTTCTGTTTATTTCTCTTATCAAACAATACATTTTATGAACATTTTAGTGGGAAATCATCAGGCATTCACCCTAGAATCCTGGCTTGGCTCCTTCTACTTCCCCTTAACCTCCAATCCTAAAACATCCTCCAAAAGGCCATCATTCTCAAGACACCATTGTAAATGATGTTACTGGTCATACAGTCCAATCCTAAATTACTGAGGGTCCTGGAAATTGATCTATGTCAATACAATCTCTTTTACATTATTAACTAAAGATAAAAAGCTTCCCTTTAAAGATTTTTTAAAAATTAGAATGGAAAAGAAGTCAAAACCACATCAAGGCTTTAAGGTGGATGCCCAAGAATTTTCTATCAAAATGCTCACAAAATTACTTGTCTGATGAAGGAATTAGAAGGAACATCATGCCCATATTCTTGATGGTACAATAGAAAATAAAAAGCAGATATTCTGCTAAGTTTTTGTGGTGTGGTAGAGATACTCAAGCCCATAAAGTAATCATCTTACTGTCTTCAGTCAGGTGAATGACATTTCAAGAGCTCAGGATTGGGAGTCAGAAGATGCAGGTACATATTCTGCATCTGTCACTTTCTGCATCTGTCACTTTCCGCTGTGTGGTGCTGGGTATGTTTCTTCTCTTTGCCTTGGTCCAGCCATCTATACAATGACTATAATGCAGTGGATTAAATAAAAGCATCTAGCATATTGATGATTTTAATTAAATCTGATTTTTTTTTTTTTTTAGAGTGGCTCTCACTTTGTCACCCAGGCTGAGTACAGTGGTGCAATCACAGCTCACTGCAGCCTCTAACTCCTGAGCTCAAGAGATCCTCCCACCTTAGCCAACTGAGTAGCTAGGTCT